TTTTTTGCATTTTTTGTGCATTGTTTTTGCATTTTTTGTGCCTTTTTTGTGCATTGTTTTTGCATTTTTTGCATTGGTTTAGTGGACACATGCGTTTTTTTTCGCATTTTTTTGCGTTTTTTTTGCATTCCAAGGCATCCTTTGGTGACTTGTTTTCGCGTTTTCTGTGCATTTTTTTCGGGATTGGTTTTGCATTATTTTTGCATTGTTTATGCATTTTTTATGTTTTGCTGTGTCATCAGAACTAGCTTTAGCGTTCATCATAACTTTTGTGTATCCCATCCCTCGCAGTGGCTCGTGCCGGACAGCGGGGCGCCGTCCGGCCCGTCCTCGACACGTATTTTCATGCCAGAGCTCGCCTCGGCAACCGGTTGAGGCCGCCGAAAGTCCCCTGGAACGCTTGGAGGCCTCAGCACCCTGAACCCTGTGAAGCTGCACCTGCGAAGCTCCTGTACAGCTCCTGCTGTTGAAACCAAACCTCCAATCATCGGAGTGACCAAATCCAAACGCCCTCAACAGCAGACGTCTTTCATCGTCTTTCCGTTTTGGCCCCGCCCTTCCCCACCTTCCCAGGCCTTTCCTCTCCACTTCCTTGCGCCGAAGCTGGGCACTCCACACCCGGAGGGCCTTGATGTTCTCCCCCGCCCGGCCAATGATGGCTTTGGCAGCCCTCGGGAGTCGTGGGTGGAGTCGATTTGAGGCCCGGAATCCGGGGCGCACGGAAGGCGGCCACTGAGATAGGATGGACCGTGTGGGTTTTGCGTTGGGTTTCTTTGGCTGGCGTAGCTTAGGCTTGATGCTGGTCACCTGTGGGGGGCCATCAAGAAAATGCACTTCTCCCACTACCCTGGCATACCGCTGACCCAGAATCGATAGAGTGAACTTCAAACGAAACAGTCCTGCCCTCTTTCGGCCTGCCGGGCATGCCTCAGTAGGGCAAACGCCCCCCTCCACAATGCAATGCATAATGATCATAATGTTCCTCTCTACCCTCCGGCGGACGGCGGCCCCGAGCACCTTTTTCCTCGATCCTTTGTTTCCGCGTGGGGTTTCCGCGTTTATTTGGAGAGGAAGCCCTTTTGCACGCCGGAGCCCAAGGAGACCAGAAGCGCCTGGTCGGTCGGGTCGGGGGACCGGTTTGGACCTGGCAGGTTGCTGAGGCAGGGGGAGCAGGAGCAAACACATTTCAGATGGTCAAAGCTCTCATCCAAGGTCATGCAGAGTCAGTGCGGATAGATTTATGAGCGGAAAGTCACCTGGATTGGGATGTTCAACTTGCATATCAGTTCTGAAAACACAAAAGCCATATAGAAAACCTATTTCCACTGGACGAGGAGGATGCGCACATGTTTTTCTGGTCTATCACGGTCTTCAATTATATACATGATTGAATACCTTTTCTGATGACAACTGAGTTCAAAGTTCCGAGAAAATCAGCCGTCCCCCTCATCAAATCCCAAAGCCGCCTTATATGCGGGCCCCTGTGTACGCGAACATCACTGGACCCGGCCTGTGCTCGCGCCTCCGGCACCCCCACGTGCCGCGCCACCGCGAAGCCCACGCGATGGCGTCGCAGGTCATAGGCCGAGTAGAACCTGCACTTGGGATGGCATGCTTAGGAAAGGGTCGGCAAAGGCCCCATTTCAATACGCTCCAACTCCAACTCCAACTCACTGCAGTAACATGAAAGTGGAAAATGACCCCTTGAAAAGGCGACGTTTACATCACGTGTGTCTATTTTCCATCGGAACCCATTGGAGGAATATATAACTCAATTCTGCGTCTAAACCCTCCCGCACAGTGCTGCACAACCCGCTTCAAACGATCCATCAACCTCAACCCCGCCTCCCTTCCACCCTCCATACCTCGACGGAAGCAACTCGACATCTGCAGGCCAAAGCACTTGCGGAGGAAGGGGTCGCCGAAGATGAAGAGCGGCCCGTTGGGCGGCGGCACGTCTAAGCCTGGCTCGCCCCCGTCTGTGACTCGGATGGGCAGGCCACGTCTGGTTCTTCCCACGGGGCGGTTTCTTCAGGATCGACCTTCTGGTTGAGACCTGAAAACACCGCGTGAAACAAGGTTGAGCAACCAACGGGCACCCACAGCCCTCAAAGTATGAGTGAATAAACGTGATGGATCCTCGGGAGAGTGAACCTTCCTTCAACAATCTTGAAGTGAAAGGAAATTTCCAACCTCCCCTAAACATCCCGGCCCCAAACAATCTCAACCCTCGAACCTGACGAGCGAAGCTTAACGCGTCCGCGTCCAACGAACGATATCAGCCGGGCGACTCATGAGAGAGGGAGAGCAGCTGCCAGCAGACTTGTCCACATAATCCGAAGGTTTGAGATTCATCACCTGGGTCGTGGCGCCAGGCTCGTTCAAGTGGCTTGCTGAACCCAAACTGGGAACATGGCGCCAAAATGTGAAGTTCAAAGGTTGAAGTCGGGAAAGGATACGCCGCGCACGAGACCCACATGGAACCTGAAAACCACTCGGTTTGTAGAGGAAAAATCGTCTTCCAAAGGCCCGTTGATCTTCTGGGGTTTGGGTACTGGACCCCTTTGCATCGGTTTGGGTCTTCGGATGACTGCAGTCCGCTGGTCCTTCAGTTTCACTCCTTCGCGCCGATTCGCGCCTTGGCCTCGCTGCAACCCAGGCACATGCCCCGCCACCACGAAGCCCAGATCTGGCAATTCCTGACACACGGGATGGCCAGAGGAAGTCACGGTGCAACTGGGCTCAGTTGGAAGCATTCAACGGTCGACTCCCTCAGTTTGGCTGGACAAGAACGCTCCTAAAGGTTGACCGAACTTTGGTTTGTAGCGGGGAGCCACCCCAATCCCCAAAAAAGGAAGCCCCCAAAGGGACCAAGAGAGGACGTACATGTGGGATAAGCTATGGGGCTGTTCAACCTCTCTTTGGCTTGTCCTGGGTAGGAATGGCAGGAATCCCGAAATTCCTAAAGGCCGCCCCAAAACTGAGGCAGATCGGACTCCGAGCTGGCTGAAGGTGACTCTGAGCACGGAGATGGGTAGAGGAGGGGTGGAAAATGAAGGGAGCGAATGGAGTGACAAACCAAAAAAGAAGTGGAACGCTGGTCCAACTGGTGGGGGAAGATAATCAATCATATGCGTCACTCCGTTTTCGCGCCCACGGTCTGGGCACATCCATGAGTCCAAAGGTTTGATCTGTATATAGTATATTATATATATAGAGAGAGATAATATATACATAGATATATAACTATATATATATATATCATGTTGATGTAGAATCTACAAATTGGAATGAACTAGACCCGTCTTTCACCGCCTTTCAGTCCCAATCCTTCTCTCCATCTTCAGCGCGTCTCGTGCCTGGTAGTTGGAGCAATCTGGTGCCACGTTCAGCCGCCTGACCGCGGCGGGACCGGGAACACCCCAAGCATGATAGCCAAAAGGATCCTAAAAGGAAGAACCTCAGCCATTTCACGCACCGAAATGCAGTGAAATGCAGTGAATCCATGACTGAATCCATGCATCCTGCGCACCGCCGCCTCTCATCCTACGCACCGAAACCCGCGACTCATTCGTCCGTTCATCGTGTAGAAAGACGACCTTTCAAGGACCCGGCTTGGTCAGCTCGCCGATGACCGCGCTGGGCCCTGCAAGCATTGAGGTGCCCGTGTCCACCGCCACCTGGCGAACCACTGGCGAAGCCTTCAAAGAAGTGGATGTGTATCTTGATTTACCTGTTGTAAGTACAAAGTACCAGGACCCTCCAAGGGGTGTCCAATGAACTACCCCACACTACCTATAGGCTTCCATTGGGCACCCCTTGAGGGTCCTGGTACCAATTTACACCAATATAAGATATGCCTGTGAGTCAAAACCTCCAAACCATGGGAGGTTGACATCCCTTTATAGATGAACCTGTTCGTTTGACCCGGGGTCAACCAGGGTGCCCAGGCCAGGGATGGCCAGGGCCCAGGATACCCCGTGACTGTACCAATGGGTTGCGGTTTTGCATGTTATACATATGCTGGCTAGGAAATGTGGTGCAAGTGAACAATGGATTTCTCCGCTTTCCTTCTTGTCAAGAACCAAGTGGGAACCCTCTTCCTGCAGATGAATTTTGCCACCACAATAGAACCCATAAATTGCTTGGACAGAAGAAGGATTATAAAATCGGTTGCAGGTCTCCCTGAAAAATAGTGATATATGTATATATATATATGTTACTATAATATATATATATATAGATAATATATATGCAGTACATATATAGATATAGACCTCCAAATGGACGATCCCCACTCAAAATGTCTGGGAAACCATGCCACGGATCCATTTGCAGGCTGCCGTTTTTGACGTCTTTCCATCGACACTCACCGATCTCGGACCGTGTCGCCCCCGATTCGGATTTGTCCTAGTCGGTGGGTCCGGAGCCTAGGGGAGGAAGTGCTGAAGATGCTAAACCTCTGAGACGAGGTGGTCTCCACGTTCCGAAGCTGGTGAAGACGAGGCCCAAGGACTTCGGTCCCAACATGCGCGACGTCCCAACGCGCGACCGCGCAGGCGCCGAGCGCCGGGGACGAGAACGCGGAGCGCTCCGCGCCAAAAGACTCCGTGGACTGGCAAAAAGGGTTGCTGACTTGTTGCAGCTGATTGCTGCTTGCTATGAATTTGTAGTGAAAAACGTCTCAAAGCGAAAGTCAGATCATTGGAACCCCCACCTAGCCACCACAAAGAAGGTCTAGTCTATGCTAGACCTTCTGTAAAAAAGATGTCTTTTGGTATATATGTTATATATACAAAATTGACTAAGACATGTTGGATGCCTATACACGCTCGCTCTGGTGCCTGGCAATCGGAGCACAGGTTCTGCTGCTTGTTGCCAATGGCAATGTCTTCCATCTGCACCTCCGGCGCGACCAACGCTCGGGAATCGCCAGCGGTTTAGCCCCAAGGCCTCCAGACTAGCCGCAGCTGCGCTCAGCACGAGGAACCGGGCTCCCTGTTGAAGATTTGGGCATATGTTGGGTCTATCCGAGTCTGCCAGGGCCCAGTGGATGATGATGGTTGGTAAAGGCCTTGCTCAAAAATCGTGATGATAGTTTACGGACTGTTGCAGGATGTTGCCGGCAATGGGACAGACCCAATGTATTGGATCGCCCCCCTGGCAACCCGAGAAGTCACTCCTTCCGAATCAAACCATCTATACTAGTAACTAGTACTTTGGGGGTTCCTTCAGAAGGGCGAGCAGCTGAGCAGGCTCTCATTGAACGATGTATTCTTCGTGTTTGTTCATGAAGAGCCTTGGGTGAGTTCTTCACTTTCTCCCCTGGCTCGAGAGAATCTGAACCGTTTGGCCGTGAGCCCCATCTTCTCGCCTCGGCGGCGGCAACCCCCCGGTCCGGCCTGCCAATAGCCAGTCTGCCGGGACACCGGCACCCAAAACCTTGTTGGGAGTCACAGCTTCAGTGACAGGTCAGGAAGCGTGATTTGCGGCTTAAATGCCAAAATGGCAAAGACAGTCGAAGATGCAAGGAGTTGCTTTTTGTTTCTTTATCAGCATGCGGCTGCCAGCTGATTCGTGACCCCTCATCCTGTGCGCGTGTGCATGACAATTGTCAATACCAACGTCATACCTTGGTTGCTATGTGCCACTTTGGCCCATCCTTCGTTTGAAAGTGCTTCTTGAAAGTTAGACCCCAATGGTTGTTAATTATGTGGTTCGGGAACGTTCGGGACATCAAGTGGGCCCTGCAGAAGGGTTTGGGTCGCTGGGAGGTTCTGCTGGGCCTTGCAACCCTGAGCTAGTTCCAAGCTAGCTCCGGCAAAGTCTTCGCATGTATTCGCAAATGATTCACCCCGAAAAAAGCCAAGCTTTACTTTACGGACTGAGGACACACTACACCACCCAAACAGCCACTGAACATGACGAAACAAGTTCGACGGACTGACTGTGGCTCTGTGGGAACTGCATGGCGTAATGTCTCTCTGTAGCTCATTGCCTAAGGGCACCCCAAGAACAAAGGCCCAATCAGTAGGAGCATGGCCTAAAAGCCTTTACTTGGTCTGTGCAACCCATTCCGCAAATGAAACAACTCGAGGAGAAAAATGCCTCTACCACCTGCCGATGTACTGTCTGAGTTATCATCCTCGAGCCGGGCGAATAGGACAATCCAAGAACCCCAAACAAGAGTGCGACCTTTCTCTTTTGACCACCATCACCTTGCTCGTTGGAGTGCTCCATGTTCTAACAAGTTCTAATGACTGAAGGCTTGAAAACCACGTCAATCTTCGATCTTCTGTCAATCCTATCAACTTTGCTCTTTGGACCCCCCCCCCAACCCCCGTACGCCCCCCCCCCCCCCAGACCCCCCCCCCCCCCCAACCGCTGCCCCGACGTACCCCACGTACCCCGCCCAACCGGTCTGGTTTGGACCGTTCAAGACACATGGATCCCACCATGCGCTCCTCCTTCACGTCGCCGAAGGTGATCTCCGAGTCCTCCTCGTCGCTGTCCGAGAGGAACACCGAGAAGATCGGGTGCCGCAGGTTCCCCGCCGCCTGCCATCGCTCCGAGGAGGGTCGGTTCCAACCGGACGAACCTGTGGTGGAGCCAGTGGAGAGGAGGCACCTTAAGGGGGGCCGGAAAGGCTCGAAATGAGAATGAGGGATGAGAAGGGATGAATGATGTGGAATGTGGAATGCAAAAAAAAAAGATCCCAACACCCTCCCTCCCGTGCCGAGAACAGAATTTTAGCCGCCTCCATCCGGTCCATGATGCTGAAGTGTGTCCCTTGCGTCATCTGTGGCAATGCCAGGCCCAGCACTCCATCAAAATCAAAGGACCCGAAAGGCTCGGCCGTTTCCTCAGCTCGCGTGACTCAGGCCTAGCAGCAAGAAACAAAAAAAAGAACACCTGGGGCCCTCCAGCGGGCTGCAGGATCTGAGGATTTGTGGGGGTTCAAGGTAGGCATCTGCCAAAGGACTCATAGAATCCGTTTCACCCCGAACTCACCCTGAGGGAGTTGATCATGTCAAGTAGGATGGCTTCGTGTCTATTCTGTTCATCCTCGGTCCACTCAGGGTGCCCCAGCTTTTGAACCTCGAGTGCCTGGGTGTTGATTCGAGTGAAGAACTCGAATAAGCCATAAGCGAAAAACGTCCGTCTGCGGTGGATGGTGCTCGTGTCGTGGGGCGCACATGCTTGGAAACTCCGCCAGAAAAGGATCAATCCACAGGGAAAATACAAAGTTACCCTAAGCGCAATCAGGTCTCACACTTCACCAAAAGAGTGAGTCCCAAATGTGCATGTAATTGCATGTAAACAGTATGCATGATATATTACACAGTATGTATGTGTATATATATATATTATAGTATAGTATACACATATATATATATATTTATTTATATTTATATTTTTATATATTTTTATATATAATTCGGTATATGCGCCCACACATACAGAAAGCACATCCAATTTGGGGAATTCACCCTTCGCCGAGAAAGATGAAAAAGAACGTCGAACACAAAAGCCATGGAAAGAACCCCAAATTCAAGCCCTGCTCGAATCACCCTCAAATCAGCAGGGTCTCGTGGGATGCACCGATGAACTCCATGTTGGCACACAAATGGCCGATGCAAACATCATCCCGAAGGAAGACACCGGTGATCCTCAGTGGCGGAGGGTTTCTGGAGCCGGCCCTCAGCTCTGGCCGACGCCCTCAGCAGAGGGGCATGGATTTCCATGCTTTGGTGGGTGAGCCATGACGCACGGCCATCTGCAGCCATCTCTGCCATCTTTTTAGATCACATACAGTGATTTTAGATGATTTTAGAGTAATTGGATGGTTGTATAAGGAACCCCCATGTACCAAGACATCTTTGGGTGCCAGTGCCACTCTCTCCACTCTCCCGGGAGACCTCGCCGAGCCACTCGCCAGTGCCAAAGGTGACCGTGAGCTGGTCCCGTTGATCCAGGGGACCAGCAGCTTGGCCATCGGACTGGAGGTTCCTAGACCGAGCTTGGCCATCAGCCCCGGATGAGTAGCTTAGACGAGTCGTAGGATGCGTAGCTTGCGGTGAGACGAGTCGAAGGTTCGGAGTTGTAGAAATGTTCGGATCTGCCTTGATTTTTTGGGGTGTCCGCAAGGCTCTAAGAGCCGGGTTCAAGAGTTGCATGATTCGATTCGTCATGAGTTTCCGACATGAGATGATTCGTGATTAATGGAAAAAACAACATTTAGATTGTAAAGCCTCTTCGTATGGGGTGGTTTTGTTGCTCAAGACTCAAGAGTCAAGAGTCTACATTCTCCAAACATGTCCAAACCTGGTCTGAGCGCTTTAATGTCTTTTCAGTATGGAATCCTCAATTCAAGGCGGTCCAACAGCTCAAAGTATCTATAGACACCATCCGCTGGTAATTTCATGCGGCCCTCCCTCCGTCCGACCTTTTGTCAAAATGTGTCTGTGGGTCACCCGAAAAACCTGGGTCGACCAACAATGAACAGAAGAGGATACCAAACATGGTCAACCTACTACTACCAGAGTCCAGGCTTTCACTCACTGCCAGTGATTCTCTCCAAGACTCTCTGCAGAGGAGGACTTGGAGGGGTCAAAGCGCTTGTGCCTGAAAGCTGCAAAGGCAGGGATCCTTCTGGTGAACGGTGTAGAGAAACGCATGTTATTGAGTGAAATGACTGGCATTTACTATCATATAGTGGAACATTCACGATTCACAGGGGGATTCTTCTAGGGGCCTTGGTGGGGGCGCCTCAGCTATCACTCTCCAAAGGAGAGCTCCTGGAGAGCTGCGCTTTCGGACCTAATTTGGATTTTTTGATGAATTTCTTCTGCTCCTCGGTCCCTAACGTAGACTCTTGAGGACCAAACAACCCACCCAAGTGAATTGAACATCCTCTTCATAGGGAGGCTGATTGATCAAGAGTCTACATGACGTTCTCGCTTTTTCTCATCAGTTCTTTTGAAGGCCGGGCGCCCGATTTACGAGGGCTGACAGCGAGAGGGATGGGGTGAGCGTTCACTTTGGAGCCCGTTTATACGACCCGTTTTTGGACTGAGCCCAAGCTAAATCTGCGATAGGTTTCGATAGCTGCTTGGTGGTTCTGATAACTGCACCGGAAAAGGACCCAGCCCTTCCCGGCCTCAAGCAGGCTGAGTCATCGCACAGGGTGGAAGGCACCATCAGGTTGCCACTGCCTGCTGCGCCCATGAGTTGGCTGAGCCTCTGGAACGAGAAACCATGAAAACCCCAACTATAGGCTGCAAAACCATCTGCCCAGAAGAAAGCAAAGCACCACGATCTTCGTGACTTTCGTCTTTGCCTTCACACCATGGCCACCCAGACCATGATCTTCTAGAAGCCGAAAGGCCACTGCCAGCACCACCCAAAGGCTTGTTTATAGAACCCTGAAGATGCATTTTTCGTCCAATCAATAACCACCCCTTGGGTGGTGCTGGTGGAGGCAAAACATCTGGCAACGAGGCTTCGTCGTGCAGCTTCGTGAGACCCATGAGCCCCGAGGTCGGCCCGGCCTGTGTCGAAGACCACGGTGGCTGTTTGGGCCGGATGTCCAATGTGGATGTTGCCATAGTACCTTGCAGTAATGCAAGGTAGATTACACCCTGGAAGACTAACATGGACCCTGAAAACCACTGGTTGGTAGAGGAAAACCATCTTCCAAGGGGTCATTGTCAGGGCCTGTGTTAGTTTTCAGGAGTGTATATATACATACAGTATATGTTTTACAAACCAAGCGGATCTGTTAATGCATCAACCGTCTATGTTGCATTGCCCAGGTCCCGAAGAATAGCCTTATGAATACGATCCTCTTCCAAATCCTTGTCAGCGCGTTCCTCCATCAACTTGGGGACGAGGAAAAGGGTTCCAAGAAGATCCTCCCAGCCTGCACAGGACCTACCAGGCAAACAGGATATCCTGGCTGGACTACCCTGGATTCTCCAGCCTCGGAACACCCAGACTCGGATGGTCCGGGTGCGATACTAGGATTGGTTTCTGCAGATCGGGAGGGTGGTGCCGCACTGGTCGATCTTGACAGACCTTTCCTCGCCGAGCAGCGCGGTCTTGTGCACCACCGAGCTGAGCGCATCCACACTGCTGAAGGCCTGCGATGAATGGTGCTGGAATCGTCGGGTGGTCCGTGGCTGGCCCGACCGTGGCGAACTGGGAGGGGCCATGTTGCGTCGGGAGACGACCGGTTCACCAATGGATTGTCAGAAGTTGCGGAGATCCGCTACTAAGTTGTGATCTTAGGAAATTTGCACCATGGACTGTCACCCAAGAATCGCAAATTAATCATTAAACATAAAAAGACCCTCACCCATGATCAATAAAGCACCCCCTGACACCTGCAGGCGGCTGGCACTTCGAGCTCTGGTCTGAGCGATGCTGTGATTCGCACGCTTCAAGAGGATCTCAGCGGCAAGGGATGGATCGGGAGTTTGGGACAGATCACTCATACTCGAACAAAGACAATAATCCTTATACAGTAATTCCTTACATCACATCGCATAGCTTATTTGCCAAGCAGCACGGATCGAAAAGTACCCGTGCTGAAAGCGATCTAATCTAGTCATCTAGTTCTTGGTTGAATCTGCGGCGAAACCATGTCTGGGCCGGGGCAGCAAACCTCATTTCAAACAACCGCCTGTGGAGTCATTGCCCACTGCCCAGCAAAGTGGACAGGCATCCCCAACCCACTACCCAACCCTACTTCTACCTGCCACACGCTTCATGAATCGCCGACACTCCGACTCACCAACTTGGAAGGTGGAAAGAAAACCTGCTCATAAAGGAAAGCCGTCTTCCAAAGGACCATGTTCCACGTCGATTCCATGTTAGTGAGTCGGAGTGCACCCAGATGTTTAAGGTGGCCGCGGAATTGTGCCGTCCGAAGTACTGGGGCAACTCATGAGGACGCTTGTTGCTTGCTCGTGATTCTGCCTCATGATGGGTCCGTCTCACGTTGGGTGCAACATCGATTCGACTCGGACGAACTGGTCATGGCGGGACTTGCGAAAACCACCATGCCACCGGCAGATGCAGCGCTATGAAGAAGAGGAGGAAGAAAAAAGAAGTTGTTCTGGGGATTTCTTGTGCCATCTCTGTCCTCCGACCCCCAGCAGCCAAGGGAAAACGGCCCTCGATCCGCAGCCATCCGAACTTGACGGACGCCCCGGCTCGAGAAGCGCTGCAACCTCATCCCAGCCGCCGAATGCGAGGACTTCAATCCGGTGCGCGCCGCGGTGTGGCTCTCTAGAAGTTTGCCTTGAATTGGACGCCCGTCGCGCGCGAGGAATGGCTTTCGCGTCGATGTGAAGGTCCCGGCGAGGAGAAGCAGGAAAAACTGAAGTAGAAGACTTTGAAGCATATCCCAAACAACCCATGTATGTATCACTGTATCACCCAATTACATCGGTGGTTTTTCAGGGTCAATGCAGGCATATATTCCATACATGGAGTGCCTTTGTATGAACTGCCCAAACGTCAAACCGCAAACGGCATGCGTCCGAACCAGGACCTCGCAGCAAGCAACACAGAGAGCTGACCTACATTGCATGTCAACAACAGCACTACCAGTACCATGCGTTGACGGGAACATTTCATAGATAAGCAGCATATGCCCTGTATGACGTCTCTTTCTCGACACAATATGACACAATGCATCTTTTCCAAAAAGATCACACTCTACTAGGAGCGATCGGACGCTACGAACGTAGCTCCTGGCATCGCTACTAGTAACCAAGAGCATCGCTACGAACGGAGCGATCGGACGCTACGCCTTGTGCATGAACTCCAATGACGGATCGAAGTGGAACAATCGGCCCTTCTTTCAGCCCCGTCTCCGTGAGCCACCCCACTTTCGGCCAGGTGCTACCGGAGCAAAGGCAAGATGCAAGCCTCGGAGAAAAAAGAAACCACCAAGAGCCAAGAGAGGTCAGACCTGGGAGTGGTACAATGTGGCACATCTGGCACCAAACCATGGTAGGGTTGACACCCCTTACAAAGGAGTCTGTTCAATTTGATCCAGGGTCAACCAGGGTGCCAAGGTTTGAACTCACAGCCATATGGAACAGTCCCATTGTATACCAAGGGACCAGGATACCCCTTGACTGTACCAATGGGTTGCGGTTTTGCATTTTATACATATGCTGGCTATGAAGTGTGGTGCAAGTGAACAGTGGATTTGTCCGCTTTCCATCTTGTCAGAACCAAAGTGGGAACCCTCTTCCTGCAGATGGATTTTGAACCCAAATTGCTTCAACAGATCCCTCAAAAATAAATATAATATATGCATATGCATATATATAGAACCCAAAATAGATGATCCCCACAAAAATGTCTTGGAAACCGTTTCTATCTATTTGGGGGCCACTATTTATCGACTGTCTGGAAATGAGGCAAAACCCGCGTTGGGTGATGGGTTGATGACGAAAAAGCATATTATGTGGATATGCTTACAGCATTCGGGCAGGAGGGTTTTACAAAGCTAATGAACGTCATGGGACGTGACAAGCCTTCCCAACGTTCCACCCAGCTGCAACAAGCTCAAGGCTGCTCTGGACATCTCCAGTGGGCGCTTCGTTACGTCTCAGATGGCCCGCTCGGAAGGACACCGCGCGGACGGAAGAATCGGGGCGCCGGCGGGGGCTTCCCGATCTCAAGCCCAGAACGGCAGCGGTGGCGGTAAGACACCATGAGGGGCTTGGGTGGAGCAAACAGGACTCAAAGAAGAAACCAGCTTGGCACCAAAGCTTCGGACACCATGCCATTGGTTTCATGCCATTGGTGACTTCCAAAAATAAAGCTTTCCCTCCATGTTGATTGCCGGCGTTTCATCTAGTTTCTCTTGATTCACTATTCACTGAACCCCCCCCGCAAGCCTATCATGGACCTTCCCACATCAATTCAGCGCCCCATCGCAGCGGCCAGTGGCCACGCCTCCCTTTTTTGCACCTTCGAATGCGCCCAGAAAAGGGGTCTTTGGGACTCACTTCGTGGCATTGGACATGATCTCGACAGCTTCCTTCAAAGACTTCAGCTCCTCCTCTCGTTGCTTCTCGCGCTCCTCGCAAGCACGAGTGCCAACGAAAACTGAATCTACTGCATGTCCAGTCATCTAAATACAAACCAGATCAAACCAGCCAGAATTGCGGGACCGTATGCTACTTGCAGCTGGGTGGTGCCGCTAGTCCCACAAAATGACTTGTCCTATGTGAGCCACCCGGAACCGCGACTCCTCATGGAATGCTCTGCGGGTCCTCCGCCCCTCCCGACGTTTCGCCCTTCTTCGCTTCCCCGCTCGGGCAGACGGCGGGCACCGAGTCCCACAGGCTGGGCGAAGAACGAAGCAGCGGGACAGGGATCCGCTGCAGCGGCTCGATGTTCTTCTAAGAGACTGGGGGCGTTCCGCTCTTTCATGTGAGATATGTGAGGTGCTCCTCGGAGTCGAGATCTCAAGTAAGGCACCGCCCCAGGTCTGTGCAACAGGTCTGTCGCTGACATGTGCAACAGGTGCGGCCTCACAGCCTTCGTGGAGAGTTCCGAACACCATCATTACAACCCACCCGCTTTCCACATGGGGTGGAAAAGGACTGTCCTGGACCTGGATACTGATAGGGCTGAAAGGGAAGCTATCGCAAACCCACCTCTTGGGTGAAGTTCGCCGAAAGCCGGGGTTTAGGTGATCTCCACGCCCCGAGAAGCACCAGGTTGCTGCCCTTCTCCACCTTCGAGGAGCTCAGAACGAGCCCCAGCACTCGGCTCAAGCCCTCCCAAACAGTCCACGTTTGAACGGCGGCGTGTGGCCGCTCCGGTGGCGCACCTGCCAGGCCTTGCCGCCCTTGACGCAAGGAGGCCTGGGGAGGGTGGAGATCAACCACCCCGACCGACAAAGAAACACAGCCCTTCCTCAGAGCTGCGAGTCCACATGTTCTCCAAGGAACTGGGGATCTGGTGGCAATGATGGGTCTTTCGGAAGGTGGGTGCGCTTTTTTCACTGAGTAGCCTCCCTGAAACCATCATAGGAAGTGGAATACAGCCTGTTCGTACAGGAAAACAGTCTTGCAAGGGGCCATGTTCCACTTCCATGTTTGTTGGACGGAGGGTTAACAATGCAACAACTACTCTTACTCCACAAAATTCCATGAAATTCCTCTCGACGGCGTCAAGCCCTGGAAAGTCTCCGGCAAATGCTCTTCCAAAGGCACCCAAAGTGTTTGCAACAGCTTGACACAACTGAAAATGCACATCTGAATGGGCCGTTCTTGGGAGGAAGAAGTTCGTAACTATGACCCTGGCTCACGTGTTAGTTCAGTCACTGACTTCGGGAGACATCAAGGCCAAACAGGCCGTACACGTGCCAGGAAATCCAAAAACCCGTTCATACGGCTGTTTGTGCGACATAAAACGAATACGGGATTTGACGAAGGCATGGCCTGAGTCATGCCTTCAACATGGGCCGTTGTTTGGTCCACACGGTGTCCACCACGGCCATCGTTTGGTCATCCAAGGAACCGTTGGAGTCAAGGTGTTTGAAGGTCTCCAACCGCCATGGAAGAAAAATAGCCAAAGAAAGAACAACCATTCTTTTACTAAGGATTTTGCACTACAAAACCAGGCCATGTATTGAATGGTCTTGAAATGGCGGTGTGCATCTGCGCCAGGTGAGTGAGGAAGATGAGGAAGGGCCTCATCTTCCCTCCTCAAACAAATGCAGAAGTGCACGATGACATCATGACACCACTGACACGATAAAAACAGAATTCGACCGATCGGTCGGGCTCCGACGCGGTGCGTTTCACTCGAGCGAATGTGCGTAGCTATTGAATCTCGCCGGTAGCCGAAAACTCCGAATCTAGCACTGACAGCCTGCACATGGTGTGTCCTCTTCACTGCTCTTTTCACCAGGCCTCCAGCTCGGCCTTCCCCATCGCTCGACCCCCTGGTACTCGCCAGCTCTGGGTCCTCAGACTTCAGTTCCTCGTAGTACTGCAGCGCCGCGGCCAGCTCTTGCTGGCCGCTTTGCAGCTCGCCGCCTCCAGCGCGGGAGGAAAAACCAACAGTGTGGATGTTCCACTTCCACGCGTTCTTTTCCAACTACAATGATTAACAAGCCTTTTCTCCACCTGTTCGTTATGCGTGGGGGGAAAGCCAATCCCACGTTCTCCACTTGTCCTGGTACCCCGGCCACACATGTTGAGGGGTTCATTCTGGCAACCCGTCCAGCAAAGGTTGTCGTTTTGATCATCTTCGGTGTCTCCTTCGGTCACCCCGGAGTCTTCGAACGAACAAGTGCTTCGAGGAACGTCAATCCGATAGACGGGAGACCCGTCGACCCGCGTGAGCCCGAACGGGGGGCGGCAACATGACCGATATAACACCGCCACCTCTGAGCGAAGGCGATGCGACGCCCACCACCACGGACCTCTCCACCGCTGTCCAACCCCCCGCTCTCGGCGCCTTTCGTGGCCAACTGCGAGGTCTTTTCCACCTCTGTCCAACCCGCCGGGGCACCGCGGTGGCCGGCCGCCGGGGGGTTCCCCCGCGGAGGTTTCAAGTACAATGTCAAGGGGTCCCCTCCCATTTTGAACACCATGTTGAACAGGCATGGAAGAGCATTTCTTGTCATATATGTTCAAACCACCCAAAAGATTGAGCAGGGCATTGGCACAAAATGATAGTAGATTAGTAGAAGTTAGAATATGTTTTTTCCTGCCAGTTGTCTGAGTGAGACAAGTGGCCCTACCCTGTTGAATTGAAAGGTGAAAACACGTAGAACTGTAACAAAGCGAGGTATGTACAAAGCTCGCAAAAATGTAAATAAAATAACCTTCCAAAGAAATAGAAGAGTCCATAGCAAGCACCAGTGAAAGAGCAACTTGTTCGCAAAGAGTGCAATAGACAGCTATAAGAACATCGTCATAGGCCATGGGTTCTTCGCGCGGAGTGTGTCCACAAAGAGGGAGAGAGAGAGAAGACACTGGCGGGTGACGCGCTCAGCCAAATGGATATTCATAAGCTCTTGCCTTTCATAATACGATGTTAGAAGATGTTAGAAGATAATAGAAGTATACATAGTACGATGCAATGCTATCAACAACCTTCAAACGTTGCTGATTAATTACAGTAATTAAGAAGGCATATGACATGCATAAAGTGTGGAGATGTGAACGACTATTCTGATATAGGCTTTAGGGGGGTTGATTCATCAACAGCCTTTTAGAGGCAGCGCACCTTGCTCTGCTGCAGGTGCTTCAGGTCCGTCTCCTTCAGGTCCGTGCCCGTGTTCATTGTGTTCACCAAACGTCAATCAAAACGATTCCAATCACCACTCAAACACTGGATCTTCGCCACATCAAACCCTCAACAACGCTCATCCCCGTGTGGGTGAACCAAACGTTCGCCAAAAACGCCTAAGAAGGCCAACTTGAAGGTGAAGACCGTGGTTTCCTGTAGATGTTCCCTTAAACCCATTCATTGAAAATTGGGTCTGTCCATGTCTTGCCACGCGTGGAACCCCGAAATCACGGACCCTTGTCAATTCCTCAAATCTCCAGACACGACCTGTCTGGGACTGCCAGACAGGACTGCCTAGAAACGGACCGGGGTGGTGCCAGGGTGGTGAAGACGGGCCTGAGTCTGCCAGTCTCGTCTGGGTGGGCACGCGTCTGGGTATAGTGGACGTAGAGTCGATGACCACAATCCCCAGAGTCGATGGAGGTTGATATATGTCCCAAAAATGCACAGCCCTTAGGTCGGTGCACGCGTCATGCTCAGTGGAGAGTCGGTGGGCATGCCATGTTCACAATATGGATACCCATCGTTGAAAACATGTAGAGGGTTGGTGGGGTGTGTGACGTCGACTCTGAAACCGCTCGGGGGAAAAAGATATTGACATCCAGGATAGATGATCTTTGGCACCACACCGAAGGTTTCAGGAAACTGGACTCGGTGGTAGGTCCTGTCAGGGAATGTGCTTTAAGAACCATTGTCATTCTGAGGTGAAAGGTTGGGAGTATGCAGAGTGTGCACCATCTATTGTTCTTTTCTGGTTGTAGATTGTTTTTCGAGTTTTATCCTGTTGCTGCTTGACATGTGTTCAACACACCGGTGACATGTGTTCGCTCCGTCTCGCGCTCCGGCTCGCGCTCCGTCTCCTTCTCGGCCTTGTTGAGCTTGTAGTCTTTGGACAACCTGAGCTCCACGTGGAGCTCCGCTGACCCCGGGTGAACCTTCACTCCCAGGACAGGGGTGCCGACTGCCCCAACCACCACGAAGAAAACCCAAAAACATGCCGTGTAGCCTCACTGAACCCCCGGGAACTCACATGGAAGTGGAAAACGGCCTATTTGTAGAGGAAAATGCTCCTCCGAACTCGGGACCATGCCATCGACGGACCATGGTTCCTCTTCCCCGGGTGTAATTGCACTGGACAATGTGATATGCTTTATCTAGTATTGATATTTATTGCTGGGGGCAGGGAAAAACCGCGACTTGTTAGGGCATCCATCCTTTGATTTTGATGGGCGTCCAAGTGGGGTCATTTGATGCTGGTGAGCAGCAGGCTGCACAAGTCGTTCAACAAAGCCCACTCGTAAGAGATGTGTATAGAATAAACATAGAGATGTACAAAAGTGAATGGACATGTGCATGATGCATGGGTGCAGGCATATATACCTAGAACATCCTAGGTGCTCGAACTCATTTGATGCCCACAGCAGGTGGTCGACAAACCCTTTTTTCTGGCTAAACAAGGCCATCAAACATAGTTCTCGCTCACAAAACATCACAACTTAAACCATACCCCACCACCTATAATACAAAATCCACGGCTTACCGTACCCCACCACCATACCCCACCACCTTAAACCATAACATCCCGCAAAAAACGGTGGTTGTGACTGACTCACAGCCACATGGCGCCCGGTCTTCACCAGGCCGCTTCTCAAACTCTTCTGTGGCTGATTGCTCCTGCCGCTCACACGCACATCCCCTCATCCCGAACACCAGAGTGCTTGCATTTCCAAAACCAACTTCCTCTTGCCTTTGGCACCGTCGCACGTGCCGAACCTCCCCACTACCTCGAGCGGGAAACCGGTGTTCGAAACGAACTCCGCTGGAGGGAAACATCCGCTCCTCCGCCTTGGTGTCAGCCTCGAGGCGCGCGAAGTCCGCGGAGATTTGCTGCAAAAGCTGCACCACGCCACCAGCGTCCTGACCGCCGTAGGCCGTGTCGAAGTCCTGAGGGTGGGAGCGACTTAGATGTTGCCTGAAAAACTGAAGGACCGTTGAAAGAAGTGAGAGGGGGTCGCACAACATCAGATTTCAGGTGTTGCAAACCAGATGTTGCATGGTTTTCTTGATGCTGAAGGGGGAGCGGCTTACAATTCTCATTTACTCTGGTTATGACCTCTGGTTCACCAAGTGCTGCTACATGCTGCTGACTGATGCCACTTCGGTCTTCAGTTTCCTTGAGGTGTTTGCAGTGCTTCAAACACTCCCAAGACGGGGAGCGTGTGATGCTGACTACACCACTGTTAACTGCGTGTAGCCTCACTGAATAGACCCCCTGGAACTCACATGGAATTGGAAATCCCTGCTGTTTGGTCTTCGGACAACGGTCTTCCTTTCCGGGCCATGCCATCCACACGTCATCATGTGAATGAGTCGGAGTGTAGGTCGTGCAATTTGCAAAGAAACCCCATGTATGCCAAATTTGCCTACATTGGGGTGGTTTGGGGGGTCAATGTAAGCATATATGGCAAACATGAAGTCTCTGGGATTTGAAAGAAAACCCTATGAATTTTCGCGTACCCTCACGAAGAGCCAGGTTCCACGTGACCATGTGAGCTCCAGGGATACACAGCCTCCCCCTAGCCTCCCCCGAGAGTGATGAATTCACGTTCAACGGTCAACGATGTTGCAGCGCCCCACACTCGCCGGAGCAACTGATTGGGCGCCATCACTGGAGGTCTTACACTGTTCCCGACCGTGCGCTCCGACTCGCTCAACAAGATGGAAGTGGAGGCCATGGCCTCATCCGGTTTTCCACTCTTCCATGTGTAAGCTATATATAGTGAGTCAGAGTGGAATCATTGGTGGTGCAGTCTGGGTTTCTGTGAGCTCCACCTCTGTTTGTGATGTGGTCCCAGGCACCGCCTTTCCCAGCCCAGGCACTGGTTCCTTGGAACCCTCCTGGCAAATGACGCACATGGTCTATCAGCTTCGGGGTCATAGCCGACTCAACTCGACCATTCGCTGCATTCCGGTGGAATCTCCAATTTCTAAAATCTTCTTTCTTCATGATTTTTCACATTATATAGACTGGACTCGCAGTCGTTGTAGGGGGTGGTTCTGCTTGACAGCGCTTAATATATAGACGATCGTGTGTCAAATACATTGCAGTATCTTGTAAAAGCTTGATGGATCCGTGAAGAAGCCGCCACTCTCTCTCACTCAGTCATTGACCCCTGATCAGGGGGCCCAATGGGCCCCAAAAAAACACCACAAGGCCCAATGCTGATGGAGTCGTTCAATATGATCGAAGAAGACGAGCACATTAGTGCGTCCTGTAGCAAGGCAGCGCCCAGCCCACTCTTCTCGTAAAACCTCAGCGGGATTGGCAGCTCAGGAGCTTCTGAACTCACCCTTCGTGGATGTGAACCAATCCCGAGCCTGCGCCGTAGTAAGTAAGTAGCCATTTCCCAATGAGTCATTTCAAAACTGAAAGGTTGATGTGGCGAAGTTGCAGCCTGTCGCCATTGCACAATCCCCTCATAATCCCTCCCGGCCACTTGGCCCCTGGTTCCAAATCTCATGTTCAAGCTGCAAACATCTCCAAACCACGGAGAAGCTCACAAGCTTTTCTACCCCACCCATGTGTTCCTCCAAGAAGTTTCCACAAAGGAAGGTCGGATGCCTTTGACTTCCACCACCTCCCTGCTCAAGGCACTCCTTCAGGACACTGATGGCCTCCACCACTGCTGCCTGCGCCTTCTGCGCCTGCCACGAACCGCTTCGTCGGCGCCCGGGTCGGACGGGATACATCGTCGGAGGTGGCGGTGGCTTCCAGCACGTCCCGGCCAACAAGGCAGCTCAGAATCACCCAAAAGTCGACACATGTGGCGGGCCGAGACGCGGCCCGGAGTGGTGCCAGGGGGGTCCATGTAGGCATAGATGCTCCCAAACAGGTCATCTCTGGGTCAGAGTCTCGCCCCATCAGTTGATTTCAGCCAGCCTCTGCAATGGTGCCAGCCTGAGTGGTGGGGGGGAAGAAAATGCGGCCCCACCCACTGACCAGCCCTGCTTCCAACGCGGATGGAGCCCTCGCCAGGTTCAAGTGGACTGACCAGGTGTAACTGGAGGATGCTATGTTGCACCCCTTCCGCTTCAACGAAAGGCCCTTACAAGTAGCTTGATGTAGCTTGGTAGCCTTCAGAAACAATGGCTCCTAGAATCTCATGAGTCTCATGAAGTCTCACGCATCTCATGGCGTGTGGCCAATCTCACCCCATGGCTTAATCATTTTACAGTACCATCACCCTGCCGAAGACCAAGCCGACCAGGAAGACCCCCTTTTTTCATTGAGCTCCCTCAGCGTTGCCCTCTAGCCATGCGAATCCTGACGCCCATCACATCAGAGTGCAGTTGATATGTGATGTATGGAATATCCCAAAATCTTCAAAACATATCGTTCGCCAGGCCAGTTGCGTTGCTTCAGCCCATCACATCCTTTGGCCAGTTGGATATCCCCAAATCTTCCAAAGAGAGCCCTGCACCTTCCTGCACACGCCCTGATGCGAATGCAACGCATCACCCAGCGGCATTGGCCAGCTTCTCCCCTTGACGGATCTCACTGGCGTTGGCCATGGCCTACAACGACAACAGATGACGGCAGGACTTTGAGAGAAGTTGAAAAATCCATGGTTTTTCTAGTTAACCATCTGTTCAAGCAGCATCACTTAGCCAGTTCACAGGACTTAACTGTTGGCTTGAGGCTGATTAAGAATTTGCCAACCCTTCTAGTATGTATATAATGAGTTAGTGGACAAGCTTACATGGTGCAAACGGCACTTGCAAAAGAGGTTCATATGCCTCCTGAAACGGCCCCTGCTTCCAAATGGGGTCAGCATGCATTCAAACAACTTGCCCGTTGGTTCCAAACCTGCAAACGTCACTGTGGGCACCCTTGTTGTCAGGCGGCCGCACCACCAAAAACGCAAAAAAAAAAAGCCTCCATCCACCGTATCGACTCTCGACCGAATCAAGCAGCCCCCTTTTTCTGGACACCCGGAAAACCGTCGGTCTCGGCGCCAGGTTGACGCTGCCGACAAAGTCGCGGGCGGCGTCGCCTGTGAGATGGGCTGATCGTCAGGTAGACTGATTGCTCAAGCCTCCCATATGTTCCCATAGTAAAGAGGCTTTGCAATCCAAATGGGGAGGAATTGGGATGAGTGAATTCCAGCCCACATGTGGGGTATGGTCATGTATGGCCCACCTCCATCCCATCTGGGAAGAGCTGGAGGAAAGAAGCCCCCAAAAACGAAGTTCCCCTCCGTTGGGAGATGGGTTCCCAGTCCTTCTTCCGCGTCCACTCGTCTGCGCCGGTCGTTTCGCACCGTGCCCTGGCACCATCAGGACGTCGCGCGCTGCGGCGCGCTGCGCGAAGGACGGGTCGCGGGCCTCTACTCCTTCTCCTCAGCCTCAGCCGATGGCCCCAGGCAGCCGCGCAAAGTTGAGCCGTGCCGGTGCCAAGTATGGTGAGACACGGTGCGGCGGCCCCCGCGAAAAAGAAACTGGCAGCAAGGAGCCTGGGTTGGATGATCCTAAATCAGGTTTGCATGGCAAGTGACATTGAATCTACTGTAATGGTCAACAAAGAGTAGAGCATATGAAAGCCCATGTCATGTCATGCATCAAGCGTCCAAAAACATGTGTGCGACATGACAGACGACATCGCCGCGCAAAAGGCAGAATATTTGGACAGTGCGGCACGCCGGTTATATAGACTCTTGAGTAATAACCCCCCATGTGTGAAAAGGTTGTTCAATCAAAATGGGAGGGCTTAAAAGAAATAACACATGTTGACGTCACCAGAGGAGCCGCCGAAAACACGACGCTTGGGACGGCATGTCCGTCCGGGTGACCTTCCTTTCGGGATCCAGGTTTCGGGCTCAGCCTTCCAATGGGACTACCAAAAACAAGAAGAAAGCGCATCTGGGACCGGTCCCAGTGTTTTTTCCTTGCACAGCGTCTGGGTTGACTTGCTGCTCTTCACCAGCAGGGGGGTATACTTGCTGCGTTGGTCCATTGGGGTTCACAGGTCCCAGCAGCTAAAAACTTCTTGGACTTCTTGATGCCCAAGTTGGCCAAAGGATCCATGCCCTGCTTCTCCTGACCGCGGCGTGCCGCCGTCCCGCTCCCGGCCCGCTGCTCTCCCCCTCCGAGCCGAACATCGCACGAAACATCGACAAAAAACCAGGCGTTTCGGTCCGGAAGGCTGGAAAGGCCCCTTAACTCCTTCCATGGCTTTCCACCTCCGCCGTAGCACCTGATAAAAAGACCGAAGAGACTCGAACCAGGCAGTGGCCTTCAAGGTTGAAATCGCCTGCCTGTCCTGACTCCACCCCCCTGTGACCGGTGACCGGACCCGGCGACTAGCGACCGGTGACCCGTCGATGCGTTCTACGCCTGTGAAACGAAGGTCAAGATGCCCCTAGAAGTCCCAAGGTCGACGATATTTTGACCGGCTGAAGTAAAGGAAGTTCCCTTTCAGTTCCCCTAGTCAGACCAGTCTTTTTATAGTCTTTGACTCCCAGGGATGTCACACGTCTGCGCGTGTTCGGCATTGATTTGGTACTAAACTCAATTACGCTAGACGACTTAAGTGGGGGGCCTATCTCGTTCACAAGCGAAAAGTTGATAGACAAGCAAATAGAGCATGCCGTAGACTACTGTAATTTAGTAAAGCCTAAATAAGTGGTTGCTCACATGGAGTCCCTGGGATAGGGTGCTAAGATATCGTCCAAACACTCGAAGAAAACATCCAGAAAGCACTGAAAAGAAACATCCACGTTCTGCGGCTTGAGGTGTCTGCTTGGGAAATTTTCTAAGCGCGTTAATGCATATAGGCAGACATCCGATTCTGTGTGTATGTGTTTGTCGCTGAGTGGCGCAGCTCATGTCAGGCAGATCCTAGTTCCCGTCGCAATGGACTGGCATTCTCTTCCAACCAAACTTGAGCGGGGAAACACGAAAGGTAAAGACGGACCGAGTAGCTGTCGGGACCCTTTCTGGTGAGGGACTGTCTCCGGTGTTTCAGGAACGTGCCCCTTGGTCAATCATGGATGAAACCAACAAAGCCAGAGAGCACAAGAAGGCATAAGAGGAACACCGTTGCGGTCAGATTGCGCCACACGGCTCTGCAAAGAGGCTGCGTTGCGTCGACGCTCGTTTGTGTCTAGGTGTGAAAACAGGCGCGCGTAAAAGTCGCAATGCGTAAACGCTCGCGTGTGTACCAGCTATGGTCCCACAGCTGCACGCACTGTGTCAGGATTACAGGCCTGCACGCGTTGCGTCGAAGCCGCATTGACTCAGTGACCAAACCCCTTATAAGGATAGTCGGATAGTGCTGGAGGGGTACCCCCTTATAAGGATAGTCGGATAGTGCTGGAGGGGTGCGGCCGGTACTGCCAGCGATGGACGTCACGCTATGGTGGGTGTGATCCACGATGCGGTAAGATTTCGCCACGCTAGGGTATAAGGCTGAATCGAATGGTGTTCCGCGACGCGAGGGGTTTCTCCACAGGGCTTTGCAGAGGCTGTGTTGCATCGATGCTCGTTGGTGTCGAGCAGCATGGTCTGTGAACGCAGTACGCGCTGTGTCAGGCTGCCGGGTGCGCACGCGCGGCATCGAAGCTGCATTGCGCGACCTCATTGCGCAGGGTTCGTGCTGTATTGCGCAACCTCATGGCCAGCGTCGTACTGCTGTGACTGTTAAGCGCATGACTTCACCTTATGTCCAGAATTTAGTAGTGCTGGCGACGAGGGGAGGGGACGGGGAGGGGAGTGGAGGGGAGGGGGGGGGGGG